CGGTTACAAAGTGACGTGATGGATACCTACCACTCGAATTTGAGAGGTATGTTGCGGTTTGTTAAACCGGAGCCACGTGAAAAGGGTTAGTGGTTTTTTAGGTTTTTAGTTAGATTTTTTTAATTAAATACCTTTTGTGTGGTCCAGAAGTTTCTTGGATGATTTTATTTAAGATCTATTAAAAATAAAGTCTTGTAAACGCTCAAAACAGTTAATTGCAAAGCAAAACATTTGTTGAAAAAACTTGCTAAAATTTACCGAGCAACTGTTTAGAACGATAACAGAACTTATTTTAAAAAAATTCAAATTAGATGCAATGAGATTCCTTAAGGGGATCAAGGAGGTAATTGAACAATACAAAAATTGAGATACCTTTAAACAAACTTATTTTTTTATTCCAATTTTATAATTTATAAATATACAGTAAAGCTGGGTTCTAACAGAAATTTAATTTAATTTTACATTAACATAATTTAAGATTTAATATAATTTTACTTTGTGGCGTTCATACAATAATTTTTGTCAGTGGCAGTAAAATTTCACATATTCGATTCAATATTGGGTTTTGTGTCGTGTTTCCTGTTCAAATTTGAATCATGAAGTCAAGTGAGAAAAGGTCTGCGAATTTTCCAAAGGAAGAACAGTATTTATTAGTGACTCTCGTGCAATAATATAGGTTCATTATAGAATGTAAAAAAAGCTGCGCATCGACGTGGAAAAAAAGAAGAAAATGCTTGGAGAAGGGTGGGAGTAGATTTTAATTCGAATTGTATCACTAACGGAAAAAGAAATGCAAAAGTTTTCACTCAATAATTTAACCTTTTCAAACTTGACACTTTTGAACTTCCCTAAAAAGCGAAGCATTTCAGCTAATTCATACGCATCCTTGGGTTAATTCAACTACTGGTTAACTAAAGGTGTCACGTTGAACCGTCAATTGTGAAATGCTGTTTTCGTTTTAACTAGTGGTTATCTCATAACTAGTAGTTTACTACACTTTGTGAAACTGGGCCTAAAGTGATTAATTGATAATTTATTATTAGAAGATATGCTGGTAATTGTGTGTGGAAGAATGATTTTGTTGAATAGGAGGCGAGAGAATATAATATCCTATTGCATCGGAGAAGACAGAGGTTGGAGAAGTCATCATAATCCCTCCTTTGATATGTTTGAAATTGAATTCAAAGAAATATTTCGTTTAAGTGAAAACTGTGTACGTGGATAATCAATAAACAAAGTTAGACAAGTGTTCCAGAGAGAATGTATTAAGTGTAAGACGTATTACAGTTGAAAACATGGTACTCTGTGCTTTGAGATTTTACGCAACAGGTTATTGAAACCTTCATAGTTCCGCTCAAAATACAGTTTCCTCAAACTGAACCAAAAAGAAATGATTCGAAGGTTAACTTTTTGCAAAAATGGGGATTTCCAGGTACTATTGGAGCTGTTGACGGAACGGAGTTATTTTAAAACCCTTTCGAGAATAACTATACATAAATAGGAAGGGCTATTATACTCGATAAACTGCCAGATTATATGACGACAAATAAAAGATATCAAATGTATTTGCAAATTATGGTGGCTCTACTCATGATAGTTTCATTTGAAGAAATTCAGTAATCAATGATTATCTAAGAGGAGTATTTGGAAACGAACGATGTTGGTTGGTAGGAGACTCTGGGTATCCGCTATTGCCGTATTTGATGACGATGACTCCACTTAGAGTTGCCAACAACAATGCAAAAGCTAACGATAATAGAGCATATATACAAGCAAGAAATTGTGTGGAAGGATGCATCGGACTCTTAAAAATGCGTTTCCGATGCCTATTAAGAGAAAGGACAGCGAGATTAAACCAGAATTCGTCTGCAAACAAGTTAAATTTTGTGCTGCTCTCTATACGCTCTACATAATATGTGTTCGGATGAAAACATTGGCGTCATACAAAATGTTGACCTGCCAGCCAATGACTTAGAAGATGACATGAACATGGTTAGCTAATCCAGGTGATGCTGCTGAGGGACAACATATGAGAGAATTCATACTTGATAATTATTTCAGATAGACATTATCCTAATAATAAAGCTTACGTTTGGGTCTACTTGACATCGTTATAGTGCGGTTGAAATAAAGGTTATTTCATGTATATGTAAATATATTATCGAACATTCAATACTAAAACAAAAATAACTACCTAGACATTAGACAAACAAAAAATTTAACGGAATTTAACAGGAAATCTAGTAAAATCTAACATCATACTAAAAAGGATAACAATCATGTAAATCTGAATAAATTAAGGTTTTCCCAAATTTCTGACTATTTGCGTAAGGCTTGATGTTAACGGTCCTATATTTTCTTTATCGGACATACAACATGTGCAGTGCTCTTTTCTTGATTGTGCCATATCTTCCAATTGCTCTGATATTTGACAAAGATGTGATCTAATGTATTTTGGATGGATTTTAATGTGGTAATGGTCTCTTCATAGGTCAACAGATTTATCCGATCGTTTTTTTTTTTAAATATTATATTCCTGTGAATTGGAGGTGCTGGATATGATGCTGGTATCCGATCCTTGTTTCTGTTGCGATTGTTGCAGAAAACAGATTCTTGATGTGAGAAGATTATCCTCATCCTCATGACAGTAGATGGACGTTTATCAATAAGTAAGGACTGATGCTGAGTGGGAAAGCTCTGCAAAGAGCTAGAGAAGACAATTTTTCTATTGACTTTGATGGTAACTGAAAAAAATATGAGTGCTTAGTTTTTATGTAAAAAGTTCTATCACTATAAAAAAATAGCCTGCATTATAAAGTGATACTTACCCCTACGATGTTGAGGGACCTCCTTCAGTTTTATTCTGTTCCTTTTCATTGTTTGCAGCTTTTTTTTTTCCAATTGCATTTGAAATCAGTCCATGTGTAGAAATAAAACAATTATAGTGCTTTCTTTTATGATCTAAGATACTTATCATAAGAATAATTTGTGAAATGGTACGTGAACTCTACCAATTTGAGTTGGAGAAAACCCTCCTTCATCCATTTTTCAACTGATTTGTTAGTATAACCCAAGCTTTTCAACGTTATCGCTAGGTTCTCCCATTTTTCTTTTAAATTGGATTTGCCAGTAGGGCCTATACCTCTGACAGTGGTAGAAGGTAGATCTGTATCCAAATGATTCTGATATATCCGTATACCTGAATAGAATCAACTCAAAGGCATTTTTATCTCAAATTACCATTTACCAACAATTATTACCTGTGATGCGTCTTATATGGGTATATCTGATAGAGTCTTTCTCTCATATCAAAGAAGGGCAACAAATAATTGCACTTGTGTTTCTAGAATATTGGATCTTGGATGCCTATAGAGTCGCAATAAGGTTGCAATTCATTTATCATTTCAAGCCATAGGCATAGGACCTGAGCATAGGACCATAATATTCAATTTTTTTTGTAAAGAATATTATCCTGACTCTTGTTGTTTACCGCATCTATACAGGGTGTTCGGAATAACTTGAAGTAGGTACATGCCGGGGATTTCGGAAACCATTGAAGATACGGGCGAACCAAATGGAGAAAACGTTGCCCAATCTAGCATGTCTATCTGTCATCAGCTTCTTTAAACTCGAAATAGCAACGGATATAGGTAGCTGTCATCGAATTGGACATTTAACTAGAGTATGTATGAGCAGACCAAAAAATAATGTCCAAAGACTAGAAGATGTTAATCAAATTGAACCTACAACATCCATTACTCTAGATCTAGAAGAACACGTTTCAGAAGAAGATTATTATTTTATGAATGTTTTGACAATTTTTTTCTTCCAGAAATTACCATGAATTCAGAAAAAGATTGTTAAAAATTTATTTAGATGGTAAATTACTACAAATGGAGTATGATACCTGTGCAGCAGTTTCTTCAATACATACACTTTTTCAGAAGTAATTTCCCAATAAAAGAATGATGACAACTAATTCGCCTCTGAAAAGATATACCGGGGAAAGAATTCAACCAGAAGGGTATTCGATATTTGAACTTCACTACGAAAACCAAAAAAAGTTTTTGTGAATTTATATATTTTACCTGGTAACGTTGAACCCATCTTTGGTAGAGAATGGAGGCAAAAGATTAAGGTGAACATTCCTAAAATTTATCAGAAAGATGATAATACTTAACAAAAAACAATTATACAAAATCTTGAAGCAGACTTTCCAGAAGTGTTCGAATCAGATCTTGGTAAAATCAATAATTTCAAAGCAAGATTATATATGCCAGAAAATACTAAACCAATCTTTATTCCACCAAGAAGAGTTCCCTATGCCTTAAGAGATAAAGTTTGTCAAGAAATAGATAGATTACACTTACAGAAACTCGGAATTTTTTCCAACATGGAATATAGTGCGTTTTATAAACAAAATCTCGTAATTGTACATTCCATGGTATATTACATCCAGTCCTTTATAATAACTATTCTGGAAATTTCTTGATTGCATATTTTATAATAAACGAATTATAAAGGATTTCATATCCTACTGAACTATTATAACCATATAATACTCGTGTGGGAGTTAAGGATTCCATAACTCCCGCACGGGAGTCAAGGATTTCATAACTCCCGCTTTTACCTTGGATAGGTAGATACCTATAACTTCGAGAAAAAATAGAAATTTTGGTTTATGGTTTATTCCTTTATAAAAATGGACAAAATACAGTAAATTCAGTAGGGCAGTTGGTATCCCGGCCTTCCTGGGGTCATAACACTCTCATAATTCCCTTTATAAAAACTATTATAAAACGCACTTTTTACTTTTTTGTCCTCTGTATGTCCGTTGCTATTCCGAGTTCACAGAATTTGATGACATTATTTGTAGGCACTTGATTGCATATTGCACAACTTTTTCCCCATTTGGACCACCCTGTATCTTCAATGGTTTCTAAAATCCCCATGTACTTTGAGTTATTCCGGGCACCCAGTTCCAGTATATCACCATTTTCATTCAAATAAATAATAAACTTACCTTACTAACAACATTAAAAAAAACATCTCATATTGAAGTTGAGTCCAAGTTTAGTACCAAACATATTATTTTTGACACATATTGGCAACACAGCATCAAATTCACTTTAGTGGAGAAGAAAGGCAAAATAATACAAATTAGACCTACTAATTAATAACTTTATAAAAAATAGAAATACATACACAATAAAATCACAAATTAACATATAAGTCTTAACATTATCGATCCTAGAGCCTATTTCAGCCATTATTAAGTATATCTGCCCTATATTTTAAAATCGAATTTATATAAATTAAATAAATATACAATAAAAAGAGGTATTTTCGGTAACCAATGTAGCACAAAAAGCACCTGAATAATATAACACCTTATTCTTCAATCAAAAATGGCAAAATTAATACCAATCCATCAGTTTTTTTCTATCGGCTGCCCAAGCTCATCAATTTCCAAAGATGGAATTAAAGGAGGCATAAATCCATACTCCAATCTAATACTTTTATCGTCAAACTGTCTCGCGTGCCTGTGTTTGCGAGATTCCTCGAACAATGGACGTTTCGGCGGTATCAAGCCAATATGATCTTCAGGTTTATTGACTTTGTAGACATTGGCAATGCTAGCGGATGCTTCCAGGTTGTGGCTGCTATGATCACAATGAGGCGGCAAGTATCCGTTGTTTAATTGGGCATTGGAATGTCTCACTAAATCGTGAGGATTTTTTGTTATTGGTGGTAAGTTCAGGATATTTTGTCTTGGGAGTACCAATAGATTCAATTTTTTTAGTTTATAATTATTTCCTCTGCCTTTATTATTAAAATGAAAACTATTTTGTTTTGGATAGTTTGAAGGTAAATAATGATTATTTTGAGGAGCATAAGAATTTTGTACTAGACTGCTATATTTTTGCTGGGTGAATAATCCAGGTACTTGCACTAGAAGTGCTTGTGAACTGAGTGGAAACGGTTGATAGGCATATTGAGGCTTTTCCACATAATAAGGCACTGGAATTTTCCGTTCTACTATTTTTTCTACTTGTACGGGTACTTTAACGTGAACCGGATAAGGTTCTTTTATAATTTGATGGACGATTTTTTCCACGGGATAAGGTTGGGGAACTGGAACAGGAACTTCTACAGGATATGGCCGATCAACGTATTTGGTAACTTCTACGGGTATATGAACAGGTTTCTCGACAATTTTTTCGATTGTTTTTGGCTCATGACTATAAGAAGGCCTTTCTTGGATATAATCTTTAGCTTCTATTCCGTTGCTTTTTTGCTCGTTAATAATTTCTTGAGTTAGTAGTTGTTGTTCAGCTTCATTTTGTTGTTGTACAACTAAATTGTTGCTAGTTACTTGTGGTTGTGCAATCAAAGCTTCTGCTCTAGGGGAATCTTGTTCTGGAAAATACAATAGCGTTTTGCCTAGTTCAATATTTTCAATAGCCCTTTGTTCACTTGTATTTTTTTGATTGTCAAATCCGGAAGGATACTCATACATCCCCAAATAATATGGGATGGTTTTTTGTACTTGTACAGATTTATTTTCTTGTTCATAAATATTAACAGTTTTTGAATCTTCTACATTTTGTTCCAATTGCACACCAGCTGTAATGGGGGCTAGAAATTGGGAACTCACTGTTGATGGTCTTGGAGTGACCAAAACTTCGTTATCATCTGATTTTTGAGTTGATGCAATAGTACTTCTAGCAGTACTAGAAATAAAATTTTCATTTTCCTCCGTTTTTTCATTAACAGGTTTCGATTCTTCGGCCACAACGATTGGTTGTTTCAGAAAGTTAGTAGGAGTAGTTGAAGAAACTGTATTTATTTCAACATCAATGTGATTATTTGAAATTGTTGGAGTCACATACTCTTTTAGTAAATTTGCAATTGTTCCAGATTCAATATCTTCGTTTCTGTTCTGGGATATGGCCGCATTAATGTTCAAAACATCATCGCCTGATACCAAATTTCTAGTAGATTCTATCAATTTGCTAACCTGAGTATACTTTGGGCTCAGCTTGCTACCATATTCTTTATTCTGGAAGTCTAATTGATTGGGAGCCGTTTCGTCTACAGAATTAGGCGATATAAGGGCTTCAGGTTTTGGTAAAAGTTCAAAGTTTTCTGTTTCCAGCGGGTTTTGATTATTTTGCAATAGCTGGACTAGTTGATTTGGCTTTTGACCATAAAATTGAGTTTCTAAGCTAACTTGTGGCTGAACATAGAAGAATATTGGTTGATGTTGACTAGTTTGAGGATCATCTTTAATTAATTGCTGATATTCAAAAGGAGGAGTTAAAAATTGGAAATGTGGATCGCCTGGTGAAAACTGTTGTTGATCAGGAATTATTTGACTGTCTAAAGTATTTCCAGGATCGTTAATTAATTGTAAAGAGTGTAAAGGCGCGTCCTGCGTTGGTACTGTAACCGTTGATGGATCTAGCTGGTTGTCCAAAACTGGTTGTGGAGTAGAACTAGAACTTTCGGGTTTAGTTCTGCCTGGATCAGACGGATCATTTGGAATAGATTTCTGGAAAAAATAACAAAAGTTGATTGAGGCATGTAAAATAAATAATACATACCTATCAATTATTATCAAATCAAATTATTTAAATCTAAGTCCAAGAGAACGTTGATTTTAGAGAAAAAACTAAACGCAATGCAATTAACGAACTGTTAAAGTAGTAAAAAAAATTACCATAAAACTCAGATTATGATTAGGTATCATGAGAAAAATGTTGTACGCGCTCAATGGCATTGGAATTAACTTTCAAGTATTGTTATCAGAACTTTCTTCTCAGCGGTTTTGCGGTTCATTGAAACCGTAAAACATTTAAATTTGAATTCTTACTTGATTGTTCTTCAATTTTAAAGCTTCTTCGCCAAAAGCAAAATTCGTATTGCTCTTGCTATAGGGTCCTGTGTTGGTGTAATTTACCACTGTGTGATAGCCCCAGTCATCAGCGAAATATTTCACGTCTTGGCTGGATTCCGTGCCATTTTCTACATAGTATCTAAGATCAATTTAATATAACATTTGATTGATTGTTATTTTAATGAATATGAAAGTAAATATTTACCGTCCTTTTGCATAAATCCCATCTCGTTGTTCATCCTTGCCCTGTGTCACTTTATCCTCTTGTATTCTGTAACCATATTCATAATTTGGGGGATTCTGAAAAAAAAAATTGGAATAGGGTGATAGTAAAACATGCATGGTTAATAAGATAAATATTTCACTTTGCAATGAAATTTAAATAAAATATCTATTGAAGTGGAAGATATATTAAGAAGGTAGGCACTACTATTTAGTGAATGTTTCCAGTTCATTAACAACTTAGTTTTTTATTATTTGGAAACAATAGCTATCTGACCCTGATATCAAATAGGGCGTGAATGTTAATATTTAAAAGCTTTATATTTTTTTAATCCTAAAAGACTCACTTACAGGATCGTATTCTTTTGGAGGGGCCACATATCCAGGTGGTTTCTTGGCGTGTGCGTTTAAAAACGTTAATATCAATACTAACGTCACCTAAAATAAAATGCATAATTAACGTGGTTATTAAGTTCTATTTAATATTTCTCTGTAATAATCGTTAAGGTTTGCTGGGGAAAAAACGATTGATTGATAAGTTCAATTAGGTTGAACCTAGCTTTCTCATTTGAATAGAAAATTTAATTATTTATTTTAATGGAAGAGTAACCACAATCTTTGTTGAGGATAAAGAATTGTAAATCGATCTAATTCTTTAGAGAAAATACAAAATATTGAATAAAAGTATTTTTCTCCTGCAAAGAAATAAGCTTTGTTGTTGTTTCGACCCACGAGAAAATCATGCTCATTACCAGAACACCTCTTGAATTTTCAGAGTTTAATAATGATCATTTTAATCGACAATATACCTCAAATTCATGTATCATGAATATAGATTTAAAATCTGAATATAAGTACCTACTCACATTAAAGTCATTGCGTTTTACTACGGATACAAAACAATCAGAATCTCGTTAACTTTTACTTTAAATAAAATTCTAAAAAGCGCATTCAAAACCTTAAATGTATTCAATTATTTCATTGTCATTAACTTACAAGTAACAATGCGTTCACTTTCTTCTTTGGGAACAATCATTATAAATAATTATTATTATTAAAACAAAGAGATGAATTAAGCGATTATGTTTTGTTACCGCATTGGACCGAACCATTACAAATTGGTTCTTGGAAATTATTGTATCTATTATGAAAAACTTTTAGTGTTCCTAAATCAGGCGCCACCCAGTTGTTCATTAACTACTAAGTAAGCCAGAACTATTTTTTTGTAGCTCAGTAATTTTTGAGTTTTGTGCTTATTTTAGAATAAACAAATTTTGTACACATTATTAGATCATCCATGAGGAGATTGGAGATTATTACTGCTGGATGAGGACAGTAAATTGAAATATCTTTTTTTAAAGACTCCAATCCTTCATTTGGATACTTTTCAAATTTCAAGACATATAGGTACCATGGTTTTTTGTTATAATAGAAGCAGAAACAGGGGCTATGGAATGGTTACTATTAAAACCAGTAAATATGTAATTAATTCTAAATTATAATAACAGATAAAAAAAGTATCAATAACAAAGCAGACATAGTAAAATATCCCACCTTCCTAGCCTAGTCCTCTAAAATTATTATTCGATTTAAATTTTTCAATCATTATAAATTTACCAACCTGCACTACATAACTAGACATTTCCGAGCACAAAATATCACTAAAAACCCCTTTTTCTTATTCAACCTTTGAACTAAAATTCCCCGGTTTAATCTTCAAAAAAGTTCGAACGTACGGATATTTAATTTATTCGCGGTGGTACTTGTGACTCTTCGCGGAGTACTCTCTTTTAGAAATGCTGATCAGCATTTCATCTCGCAAAGCCGAGCCAAGTCAAAGAGAGATGAGGACCCCTTTCACCTGTTGATATTACCTTCCTCGGCACCACAGCCCAGCCCATTTAGGTCCATTCTTTTTTGGTAATAATTATTGGATAATAGATATGATTTGTTTTGATCAATAAAAAAAGATATCACTTTCTTTGCTTCAAGAAAAAATTATAATACTTGGTTCATCTTATATAATATAGGTATAATATTGCATGAAATGAATGGTTTAGGTCAGTTCTAATATAAGATGATAAATAATACCTACCTACCTATATTTGAATTGAATGTTTTTCGATAAAAATTATTTGGACCTCTGATACTTAATAATGTTGCGATATAGAGTCGTAGATAAGTGAGACTAATATTCAAAATTAGTTTAATATTATTGAAGACAATGGGTGGTATGAATAAAAACGAAGTATCTGCTACTACTACAAGTAGGTATTAGTATATTCTACGTAGTATTTACTTCAAAAAAAAAAGGATTTTCCAGCAAACACAGTTCAGTCGGCTATGGAATAGCAGAGCATTGGCATTGGTGGCAAATTGATGGCACATAATGCCAATACTGTAAAAATGCTACAAAAGCAATGCAAAGCATTTAATTATTAGTTATTGCATATATTTTATTGGCAAGTCAACTAAATAGTAAAGTGAAAATTATAAAATCTGAAAATGCCAATAAATAAATATTACCCTAAATTTGATGGCAGGCCCAACCAACATAACCTCAAAAATGCCAATGAGTTAATACCATTTTTGAATTGATGGCAACTCCAACAAATTCAACGGCACTCTGGCCAGGCCACCCCTGCTCTTAACGGAATTATTTAACTATTTGTTACTCATGTGAAATGCTGTGTTGTCGCCGTCTCTAAAAAAATGGGTACCTACTTTTAAAGGAGCAGATTGGTAAGTAGTGATTTTTTACAAGGTTTTTAATATAGGGTACATAAATAGCTTCTTTTTTTTTCTAGATAATATACTACCACTACCATTATAGTTTTCGAACTATCACCTCCCTATATAGACTAGCCCTCAATGGCCTATCAACTAGAAAACTTTATAGGTCTAATAAAGTTATGCCGTCATTTTCCCTTCATGGTATACTATCTGATGGCAGGCCGGCGGCCGGTGGGTCATTTTCGTGCTTTGCCAATAATAACAGCCAGCAAATTGCCAATGAAGAAGCGCTCTGGAGCCAATGCTTTGCATTTAACATGCTATCATGTGTTTGCTGGGTTACTAATTTCCGGTAGTTTCGAAATGTAGTATCTACTTCGTTTTGAAGTAAATACTACGGAGAATCTTCTAATACTTGTAGTAGTAGCAGATACTTCGTTTTTATTCATACTACCTAATGACACGAAAAAACGACGCAATAAACTGGCCTCTAATTTATCATTGACCTCTTTCCTCTGTGGCCGACTCCGTTTTACAGCGTGTCGTTGGTTCTAGAATTTTATTCTTGGGTTCGCATTCTTGGATCGAACCATTGTGTGACGCTCTTGGGTTACTTTCAACCATCCGTCTCCGTCTCCGTACCTGAGGTTCGAAGGGTAAAAGCCCTAGATTATTAGGGTGAGCCGCACCCTGAAACCAAAGTCTGTCTAACGATATTCAATAGGATATTTTGTCCTACAATCCTTCATCAAAGAAATCGAAACGAAGAAGTAGAACATCTACAACAAATATCATATCACGGACACCCCCAACACCCATTACGCTTGAAGTTGAAGTTCGTAATGAACCAACAAGTAGCTCTACGGGATCTGGAACTACAACATCGGATTCTAGAATCGAGAGGCTTGAAAGGCTTGTGGAGCGCCTCGTCGAAGAAAGGCCTATTGCTCCAACCTATATACCACAGCTTCGAAAGCTCCATTGAGAGCGGATTGCATTCCAGAGTTTGCACCAGTAAATCCAAATCCGAGTTGTCGTAAATGGATTCAAAAGATTGAACAATTCGCTTATAGTACACCACTGGGACGAACAAACAATGGTATTTAACATGCAAAGCCGTCTTACTGGATTGGCACGAAAATGGCATGACAATCTGTCGTCATATCAAAAAACCTGGGATCAATGGAAAGCTCTTCTACTAAAAACCTTTCCAGAACACCGCGATTTTGCATCGCTACTTCGAAGCTTGGTGAATAGATTTAAACTACCGACTGAAACATGAGAGCAATATTATTTTAATAAGCCGAATTTAGTGAACGCATGTGACATTACTGGCAAAAAAGCAGTTTCTTGTCTGATCGATGGTATCACTGATTCAAAAATCCAAGCAGCAGCAGGAGCTAGTAGACATAATACACCAGATGAACTATAGGCTGAATATACATATATATATGGTATATCTGCCTTAAAGTCTGAGGGTTCAAATTCTGCATTTAAACCGACAACCTCTAACCGAGACATCCATTTAAACCATCGTCGCGTCGTGCCATTACACGACCTTCTGAAAATTAGAGATATGGAAACAATGAGCAGAAAAAGAATTACCGGAACAGTGAAGTATTTACGCCCCACTGTTATAATTGCAAGGATAAGGGCCATTTTTCAAATAATTGTACCCAGAATGGAATGTAATATCTGTAAGCGTTTGGGTTATTTGACAAAAAATTGCCGAAGAAAAGTTCAAAATCAAGTTGTTGAACCAGAAGGCCAAATTGATCTTAACAAAATTATTTTTATTTTCTACTTTACTATTATAGATCCATAATACTTAGGAAACGAAATACGTTAACACACCTATAACAACCTGATCCATAACGCCCGCTTTTGCGGGCGTTATGATCTATAACGCCCGCTTATAATACCTTGGGGTGTTTTTGTTTTTGTTGTTCTATTAATTTGCATTTTACCCTAGGCAGCCACTAAATGTCTGACCGAATAGCTATTTATGTACCAAGGGGATTATGTAGATTATAATGCCCGAAGGCGAAACTAGCCCGAGGGCCTATGGCCCGAGGGATATATTTCGCCTGAAGGGCATTATAATCTTGAAATTCCCGTGGTGCATACAATGCTTTATTTTCTACTCAGCCCAATATTTTTTCATCAATTTATTATTAACAAAATCAGTTAAACTTGTGCGACAGAATATTGATTTGTATTTTGACATGTACCTGTACCTGTGACCTGTACCTGTACCTGCGACCTGTACATAGAAAAGAAATAAATTGATATATCTATAAACATCTCATAAGGCAAGGCAACGGTGGTGGTCCTGTGGGTTAACG